GAAAAAATTTAAATTAATACATATTTGATAAATTTATGTCAAATTAATTTTTTTATAACTAAAAATCCCAAACTGGTTCATCTGTGATAAATTTATCCCAAACTAATTTTTTGATCACCAAAAATCCAAAACTGATACTTTTTAAATATTTTTATCCTCCATTATTTTCTGTTAAATTGGATTAATACTACGAAAAATCACCAATTTGTACATCTGTGACAGACGGAGGGTAAAACCTCAAACTGGTACACTTGTCGACTGTCATATGTCTTCTAACTCATCTATTTAACGAAAACTAACGGAGGATAAATTTGTCACAGGTGTGTCAATTTAGAGTTTTTGATGGTCAAAAACTTAGTTTGGGATAAATTTGTCATAATGTACCAATTTGAGATTTTTCATGATATTAACTTAATAGTGGAATAAAGGTCGAAGTTGATGCGCCAATCTGAAGTAAAAGGACTCCTCATTCATCAACCTGCTGTTACCCTTTTGCTTAAAATAGTGAACTATTGTTCTTTATACCTGGTCCAAATAGTGGAATATATTTTGCGCTATGATTAGGAAGGAGTTAATTTGGAATTAGAAAGTGAAAAAAATAGAAAACAAAATATGAACTGAAAAGAACAAGCAATAAGCAAACTGTGAATTTGGAACCCCATAGGAAAAGTGTTAGAAATGTCATAAACCTATTGCATTTGTGCTAATTTAGTCCTGGTGCAATTAAGTCATTTTGGTTAATTTTGGCCGGATATTGCTGACGTGGACGCCGGTCGGCCTACATGGCACTGCTGGCGTTGACATGGACAACTTTAAATAATATTTTAATATTTTTCGAATTATTTTTTTTTTTAATCTTTTTTTCTTTTTTTTCCTTCCTTTCCTTCTTCCTCTAGCCGGCCAAAGGCCAAAGCTGGTGAGGTCAACCTTGCCAGCCATTGTCAAGGCTTGCCCTCGCCGGATGGCTGCGAGGGCGCCTTGCGCTAGGCTGGTGAGGCTCGCCTTCACTGGATCTAGCGAGGTTCAAGCCTCGCCGGCCCTAGCCTCTGGCCGGTCATTGGCTTGGCAACCGGTTGGAGGTAGAAGGAAGAGAAGGACAAAAAAAAAAGGAAAAAAAAAAGAATTTTTTTTAAAAATAAATAAATATTTAAAAAAATATTGTTAAAAGTTATCCACGTTAGCGTCGGCGATGCCATGTAAGTTGGCCAACATCCATGCTAGCAATATCTGGCCAAAATTAGCTAGAAATACTGAATTGGCACTATGTTAAAAAATTTAGGACTAAATTGGCACAAATGTAATAGATCTAAGACTTTTTTCACAATTATCCCCCCAATATAGTTAGCTCAAGAAAGTCACAAAGTCATTTGTCGGCCCTAAGTATGAAATTTGAACTGAGAAAAAGTTTTAAGTCCTGATAAGCATGGCTTGAATGAGTATAAAAGGCGAATGACATACAAAAGAATATCAAAGTTATACAACTCTTGGGTGGCACATGTGAAAAAGACAAATGGTCAATGATTCGTTTGTTTCGGGAAAATTTTGATATTTCGGAAAATGTTTTTTAAGAAGTTAATTTTTGGATAAATGACAATATTTTTTGATATTTTGTTGAAATCTGAAAATGAATTGGCAATTATTTTCCATCAATTAGCAAGGAGAATTTGTTTTTATTTTTTAAAGAGACATTTACCATTCATGTGATATAAAGGCTACACATGTTATATCATCGGATTTGAAAAAAATTATTTTCAAATTACATTTTCATAAGTACCTTTATATATTGTAAACAAATTTTTTTTCTCTTACGGAACCTAGACTTGAGTTCTTAGGTCCAAGCCCAGCCTTGGGGTACTCAAGGACAGGTGTCGGGATCCTAGACCTAGCCACATGGGATCCGATCTTGGCCGTTTGGGTCCCGGGGGCTTGGGGATGACCGCTGAAGACCTAAGCACGGGCGTGAGTTCTTAGGCTCGGTCTTGAGGGATCCGGCCTCAAGCACGAAGGACCCTGACCTAGGTGCTAGGGACTAGTCCCCAGCCTCAGGGGACTCTGGCCCAGTTGTCGAGATCCCTAAGCCCGGGTGTCAGGCTTTCTCAAGCCCACTCACTGGGATTCTAAGCACGAGCACAGGGGACTTAGGCTTGGTGGACTCGAGCAAGGGAGCCGAGTATTTAGGCATGTGTGCCAGGGATCCGGGTACTAGCATCGGGGTCTCGGGCTTGACCTCGAGGGACTTGGGCCCAACCCTTGTTTACCCGAGTCCGATCACCAAGGAATTGAGCTCAGCCTCGATGAACCTGGGCTAGGACACCAATGACTTAGGTGCAAGAGCCGGATACCCAAGCAAGGCCACTAAGGACCTACGAGATCCGAGCATAGGCACTAAGGTCTCGAGCTCGGCCTTGAGAGACCCGCGTCCAACCTCCATGGAATCGGGCCCGATCTTGATAGTCCCAGGCGCAGGGACCTGTGAATTGGGTGCGGGAGCTAGGTACTTAAGCACGGGCATGGGGTCGGGCTTGGCCTTGAGGTACCAGGCCAGACCTTTGTGGACCCGAGCCCGACCTCTAGGACCTAGGCCTAACCACTGAGGACCCGAGCACAAGTGTTGAGATCCCCTTACCCAAACGCCGAGGTCTTTGAGCCAATTGCTAATATCTAGTTATAGTTTCGAAATTTTGATTTTTAAAAGAGAAAATTAATATTCTGGAATTAAGCAAAAATTTTCCGTTTGATTTATTTTCCTAATCGATCAAAATGCCGGAGCCAAGAAAAATAAGGATAATGTTTTCCTTACCCCAAGTCAAGTGGTGCCTTGCACAAGCTAGTTGCCAAACAAAGACAAAGTAAATCAAGTCGTGAAGTTAGCAAATTACATATGTATATTCTTTCTCATTAGTTTAGGAAATGCAAATGCCAAAAGATAAGATTTGTTAAGGTGCACGTGTGAGGGGTATTAGCAAAGTCCTATATCAGAGATTGTGTGGTGTAAAATAGTTAATATATCCTATTTAGCTCCTCACTCATATATTTAAGTTTTTGAGTAAAAATGTATCCAACTTGATATATTAATGGACTAGGACTTAAGCTCTCTCTTAGTAATTTTCCCTAGCGAAGGTGTCAAGCTTCCGTTGTGCACCCTTAAATTGGTTTCACAACCGATAGTTGATTGTGGTAGACTCTCAATATGTGCTGGCGTCTGATTACTATCTCAATGAAAGAATCTTGAATACGACTTCTGAATTAGATTGTACGTGAGTTGAATCTGTGTCACTAGTAGCGGAGAAGATTTCATTATAGTTGTTGTGTGAATATAGCTTAGGGAGCTTTTTCAGATTGGTTGTGGTAGGCAACTCGGAGTTGGAGAAGCTGGGCCGTAAGATAGTTTTTCTCTACGGTGAGTTAGAGGAGCAAATATACATGCATTCATCAACTAAAGGGATATGTCACTTAGGAATGGAAGATAAGGTATGCTTGCTTGAACAATCTTTATATAGCTAGAATAAAGTAGTCTCTAAGACAATGGTATTAGAGTCGATAATTGATTGGCAGTAGACTCTCAATATATGTAAGTGATTCGTGACTATGTTAGTGAAGCAGTCTTGTCACATTGGAATAATTGAGTTTTCTTTTGAAGAGAAGAATCTAAGAAGAGATTGTGAATCCATAGGTTTGATATCTATAGTATTTGTTACGAGTTCTCTTATCTTATTTCTAGACTTGAAATTTATATCTATGTAATTGTAGGTACTTCTTTAGCTATAGTCAAACTGGGATGGACTTTGCATTAGGGGTGAGCACTGGAAACGGACTGGTTCTGGACGATTCCCGGTTCCTAAAATTTGGAACCAGTGATTGTCGTTCCGATTTCCGATTCCAAGTGGAGACTGAACCACTTGGACTAAATCGATACTTTTTTTTAGCAAGCTAATTATACTTGATCATAATTTATCACCTCTTTAGCATCGTTCCACTAAAAATTTTATTGATTAAAGATTCAAAACACTAAAAAAAATGAGAGTTTAGACTATGCAACAACAATCGCAGTCTTGCAAGGAATATGAAAAAAAAGAAAAATAAAAGAAAAAGAAAGATGTCACAGCCGATTTTTAGACCTACTCTGATCCTAAAGCCGATTACCCCTACTTTGCATAGTGAGTGTCTATAAATGTTTCACGAGCAAAGGATTGACCATACACACTTAACATATGGGTTGAGCCACGCTAATGATATAGTCAAGTAGCTCTAATAAAATAATTGAGCAGGAGAGTGAGAAAGGTACAAACCAAAAAAGTGAGAGAGAGAGACACACACACAGAGAGAGACTAGGCTCCGTTCGTTTGGCGGAAAATATTCTCCTTTTGGAAAATATTTTTCCGGAAGTCATTTTCCTGGAAAATGTTTTCCCGGAACATAATTTTCCGGTGTTCGGCGATCAATATGAAAAAGTTTCGGAAAATATTTTTCGCCGGCGACTGGCGGCGGCAGCGGGCGGCGGCGGCGGCGGCGCGGTGCGGACCGACGGCCAACGTCCGGCGGCGGCCGGCGACCGGCTGCGGCGGCGGCGGCGACCGGCGGCGGCGGCGGCGACCGCGGCCAACGTCCGGCGTCCGGCGACCGACGGCCAATTTCCGTCGTCCGGCGGCGGCCGGTGACCGGCGGCGGCGGTCGACGACCGGCGGCGTCGGCGGCGGCGGCGGCCGGCGACCTTAGTGAAGAAGAAGAAGAAGAAGCTCCGGAAAATGATTTTCGCTTTTGAAGAAGCGGAAGTCATTTTCCGTAGACTTAGGCTATTTTGTGAGGGGGGGAAGGAAAATATTTTCCAACGGAAAACGTTTTCCGCCCCCGAACACCGGAAAATCTGGAAAATATTTTCCGAACGGAGCTTAAAAGACGTGGAAAGCTAGCACAATTAAAGAAGGAGAGAGAGAGAGAGAAAACATTAAATTGTTCCGATTCAAAAATTCCATCTCTCACTTGTCCAATCGTTCCCTGAAATGTCAACCAGGTTCCGGTCTCTTCTCTACCAATGTCCGCACTCTCACCATGTCTCCTCACCGTTCCCTTCTTATATAAATAGTGCCTCACACTCCTCATAATTCATTCTCATACACAATTGCGAAGAGAGAGAGAGAGAGAGAAACGGAAAGGAATAACATTATAGATAGCCACAAGGGTTAGTCGATATTTAGATCCTGCATTCATCACGTAATCTCGGCGATGGCGGAGAATTTCCAGGCCGGGATATGCGGCGAGAGCTGTTGGAGCTCACTCAGGGGCGTGCCTTTCACGGGCGGTGCGTCGCCATGCTCGGCGGCGGCCAACGATGGAGGAGGGTTTGGTTGGGTAGCGGCCGACCTGGCAATGAGCAACGTCAAAGCGAGGTCTTTCGAGCACAGCGATTACTCACTCCCCGATAGCTCCATGGTCTTCGAGAACAACCACTACAAGGCTCAGCCGCGGAGCGCCGTGCGTGGCTGCGGCAGAGGCGAACTGGTCGTCCCCGACTTGCAGGTCACGGGATTCGGGATCTCGTCGCCGATGACGCCGGATTGGAACCAAGCTTTACTGTAAGTGTATATGCTTGTCATGATGATTTTTTAGATTTTCACAAAGTAGAGTCTATTTTGTAATGAAAGTCATCTCATGAGATCGTTTGATTTCAACCATACAATTGTTGGATTGACATATAATTCAACACACGCATGTTCTTTCCCATTGATTCAGCTCATGACCATAAAAGCTTTGGTCAACTTGAATTTACCCAACACAACAAAGAACTTATGATTTAATTTGTGACCATTTCGCAGTGGTGGCGGCGGAAAATTTGCTCAGAGTAATTATGGTTCAATATTGAACGAAGACATGAGTTCAAGGATCCAAAAGGATTGGAGCCCCAAAAGCTATTCAAGTTGTGTGGTGGAAGATTCCTCCATGAATGGGTTCAAGCAAATAAATCAAGAATTCTCTTCGGACCAATCTGAATTGACTTCCATCACAACTAGTTCGACCACCACAGCCACCTGTGAGGGTTTCTCAGCTGGGTTTCCGATGGGATCAGGACTGTCCGGTGGGGGGTTGTATGGATTCCCTTTGATACAAAGCTTACTTGATGAACCTGCGGATTTTCAACCCCAACATCAATCCATCCTCAACACCCGAGCACGGTCGGTGAACAGCTTCTCTCAGACCATGAACTCCGATGATCAATCGCCCCCTTCTTTCGCCAAACTGTCGTCCCTCTTGAAACCGTCGTCGGTGAATAGCCAACCCAATAGGTTGCCGTTGTCTAACATCGCCATGTGTTCGACGCCAATGAGTAGCTTGGATTGGACTGCCGCGTCACCTCCTACCATATATGATCAAAAACCAAGTTGTGCAACACTAAACACCAAGGTACAGATCTTCACCCATTTGATCCTGAAGTTTTTTAAATTTTCATGGATATACTCTTCACTAGGGTTATTTACGACTAGAGAGATTTGCCAATCTTTCAGCGAAATTGCGATGATGCACGGGAAGTGGATTCCGCTGTAAAGAAAAGCAGCTCTGCTGAATCCGGGTTCAAAAGGCCTAGAATTGAAACCCCGTCACCGTTGCCGACTTTTAAGGTGAGATGATAATTTTCTTGATTTTTGAAACTCTTGTTCTTGGAGGAGCAACCAAGCTTGCAAGTGATGTCTTTTTCATCTGTGGTGAAAGTTTTCTGCAACTTGTTGGCACGAGAAAGTGAAGAGGAGATAACGAGTTACTATCGCATTTTGTTATCAGGTTCGGAAAGAGAAGTTAGGGGACCGAATCACTGCGTTGCAGCAGTTGGTTTCACCTTTTGGAAAGGTGAATTATTGGATTTTTCCTCCACTTTTCTGGCTTTAATTGTTTTTGCTGAAGTTGTATTCTGAGTGTAGTACATTAAATTGGAAAAAAAAGTTGATGTTTCGTTAAATGTGCAGACTGATACAGCATCTGTTCTTCATGAAGCCATCGAGTACATCAAGTTCTTACATGATCAAGTCCATGTAAGTACAGTCACGCCTTTTACTTTCATGTGTTTTAGAAGTTAATCTTAAACTGGACAAGGAGCTTTGACAAAATTACATTCGAAGCCAAGTAATGTTAATGGTTGGTCCTGTGCGTCTGTACTTTCAGGTTTTGAGTACTCCATACATGAGAAATGGAGCTCCCAGCCAACATCAACAGGTAAATTAACAAGGTTAATTAAATTCTACATTAATTCCTTTACGAGCTTTCTACTATCTAGTCTGGTGTACACTACCTATGCCCTAATAAGTTCCACAATATTTAGTAGGCGTGCTGCAGATGTCGAAAAAATTATCTTCTGCCAGGTTTTCTCCCTCTTGTTGTTCCAAATAGTCGATTAATTTGTATGACCACGGAGGAATTTAAAATAGTTTGATAGGGTCCTTTCCTATTCCTTCTGTCGTAGGGTTAAAACTCTATCTTTATTCTCGTCCGATTAATCAGTTCTTCAAAAGATTTATCAGACCACGGAGTAAATGAATAGTTTCATGTAGTAACAGATGCATATTATATGGTTTTTTCAGGGTTGTGATAAACCGAAAGATTATGCATCAGAAGGGCCAAAGCAAGACCTGAGGAGCCGAGGGCTATGCTTAGTGCCAATCTCAAGCACATTCCCAGTGGCTCATGAGACCCCAGTTGATTTTTGGACTCCAACGTTCGGAGGAAGTTTCAGATAGAGATAGAGAGGGAAGAGAGAAGGAAGCGCCGAGTTGACTCGTTACATGGGTAGCTGACTCAACAGACCAACAAGGAAGAATCTGACTCCAACCCCAACAAAAAAGAAGAGTTCGAAAAAGATGTGTATACATAAACTTCAGTTTTAGTAAAGACAGAGAAGCAGCATTGCTTTTTTTTTGGCTCTACCAATCCTGGAAACCCCACAAAGATATAAAAATAGAAAAGGCTAAACAAGCAAAAACAAATGTGCAAAAAGGAAGATATATAACAGAAGAGAGAGAAGGAAATGACCATAGAGATAATAAAGAGACAGTGATGGTCCACAAAAAAAGAGGAGAATGATGGGGGGGGAGGGGGGGGGCATGAAATGATTAGCGACCATTGGAGAGCAAGAAGAAGCAAAAGGAGGAGGAGAAGAAGAATATTGTTGGAGAAAAGTTGTGGTTAGGAACAGGAACAGGTGTTAGATTTCAACCAGAAAAGCTGACCTTTATTTCAAAAGAAAACTAGAATATTTCAGCTGTTGTTGTTATTGGCTTTAATCAAATGTTCATAGTGGGAAGCTGAATTTGAGCAGAAGATGGGGTCTGTTGCTGTGCCTCTATCTTGTTCTTACTCACATCTTTTGTACAATGGTCTTGGTACCACCCTTTAATTAATCCGTTTCATTTGAAAAACTATGGAAGAAGATGAGATAGATCCAAGGGATGTTTGCATATTCAAATGTTCAGTTCAAGATAATCAGGAGAGTGAACTGCGGAAATCAAGTTAAGTCTATAATTGTCCGGAATGTGGCAGTGGGAGTCATAGGACGGCCCACTGCTGCCTTACTTTTTAGAGTTTCATCATAACATGAGAAATAACAATGACAAGCATGCGATTCTACATATTTCTTTTTGCGCATTATAACGTGATAAGCATGCCAAGTGTGGTTTTCATGGAGCCATGGAAGCATCACAATGAGATGATATCCCGATATAACGTTACATCCATCCACATCTAGTTGAGTTAACTCAAGCAGGAAATTATTGTGGACACATGAGATTTTAATGTCTTGGATTTTATTCAATCGCCCCATTTTCATTCGGTCACCGTGCATTCTACAAAATTTTACGACGTGACAATATAAGAAATATAAGATTGACAAATGATAGATCGCTCATGTCATGATAAGGACACTAGCGTGAAAATCGAGACCCGCTACAAAAGATAAAGGGCAAAACTAAGTCTCATTGAACAAGTTCGCTTTGATGTCACAAAAATTATCATATCCTAAGCATCCCTGGAGCGACACACACATCAAATGGAAATCAATTCATCTATCCCAATTAAACTTGGGTGTAGCATACTAAGATGAAATTCTCCAAGCATGATCCTACTTGAACTCAGTAAGAACTACATGCGAAATTATAAATAATACTGGACCAAAAAATTCAAATAAAAAAGGCATTTTTGGAAAACCCTAAATCGACTTGCCTTCAAGAATACTACTACTTTATAAGGTGACTCATACTTATGGTGTGCTTGTTTCGAAGAAAATTCATGATAAAGAAAAATGTCTTTCTTGCAAATCATTTTTAAGGAAAATGTTTTCCACTTTTCATATTAGGGAATTCATTTCCTCACTTTAAGTATGCATGTTTTCTTTTATTGTAAATGATTTTCCTTTGACTAATTATTTTCAATAACCAAATGCTTGAAAGTGTGGAAAATTAATTCGCGAAAGATTTATTTCATTCAAACAAACACAACTTAATTTGTATTAGAAAGGGTTTTTTTCCCTATTGGACCAACTACTTTAGAGCAATGATGTGATCATATGCCTCAACTATGAAAAGAAGGTACTTGCAATGCAAGTTACAATGTTCACTTGGGAATAAATTTTAGCAGAATTATTTAGAGGCTATTTTGTACATATTTCTTTTTGTAGCTTAAGTTGTGAAAAGGGGTGTTGTAACTTTTAAAGTTGTTTGGTAAACGTACACCTCAATAGCTACATCTCCAAAGTTATTGCAGTTTTTATGAAGTTGCCTCACCAAACTTTGAGGTGCTGTAATTTTAAAAACCGTATTACTAAACTTATTATTTAGAGCACTTCATAGTACCACTATAGAATAACACGGTTACAGTTTAACCACAACTATAGCAAACTTATTATTCAAATGAACCCCAAAGTACCTCTTTTTGCTCAACCGAGATGAGTAAAGATGAGCCTAAGAGAAAATGGCTCCTGAAACAATTTTCAAACTCTTTTTTTTTTTTTGGTAACCCAGGGAATCTTCGCACGGCCGACAGTCGGGGGGTAAACCCTGGGGGCGACACGTGCTAGCCACCACACACGTGCCACCGGTTAAGTCACCCTGCGGCGCCCGGGATTCGAACACTCAATCTTTTGCGAGAGGAAGAGCGCCCGCTCCAGCGACGCCACCCAGGCGGGTGGTTTTTCAAACTCTCTTGATGCCTCAAAGTTTCAAGTAGACTCACCCTTCACCCCTACCGCCATGCCAAGTCAACCACTGCATGCCACCACCATCCCCGGCTTTCACATGCCGGCAACGCTGCAAATTTTACGCTTTGGTTTCTTGCCTCTACTGTCACAACATGATCATTGCTCTTCTCCTCGCCTCTGCCGTTACAATACGACCATTGCTATTCTCCCTCAGATTCGAAGCATGATGCGGGCAATGATGACATCATGTGAGAGTCAAGGATGGTGGCGGCATGCGGTGGGGGGCTCGGTATGGGGTAGGGGCGAGGACGAGTCTACTTGAAGCTCTGAGGCATCAAGAGATTTTGCAAAATTGTTTCAGGAGCCATCTTCTCTTATGCGCATCTTTGCTCATTTTAATCGAGCCGAAAAAAAAAAAATTCAAGTTGCAACAAAAGTATCAACTTAACGAAGGTGGGAGAGTGAGATATTGCCACAAAGAAAAATAAACCGAGACAGTTAAAAAGTTAAATCTTAATTTACGGGTAGTTTGGCCCACTACGTACAAAGGGGCGATTCTAGTGATAAATAAGGGTGGAAATAGCACATCCGATCTGTAAATTTACTTTTATTCTTGATTGCCATTTGTCAACGTAAACGTTGTCTCATTGGAACTGACTACTTTCACAAGTTAGTGCAATTAACGATGCTTCTAGGGATTTTATTTTATTCGTTCTACATGGACCGTATAATAAATAAATCTAATCGATGCATATAATATGGTACCAGAGATATGGACATGTGAGCAAACACTTGAAGTCCACGAAGAAGCTTAGAATACAAGACTTAAAATGAGACAACTGACAAGTGACTAATCATGAATGATTAACGTCAAATAATTATAAAAATATCTTATTGATTGGAATCTTCCGGCGCCAACTTTATCATCCCCCCCCCCTTTTTTGGGCGACTTTTGGAATTAATCGACCTATCATTTTTATACTATTAATTATTCTCTAAAGCATCGGGATCAGTATTTCTTTTCTCTCTCTCTCGAGTAGTGCAATTCACTGAATTCAATTCTTTCTTTTTTTCTTTTTTCCTAAATTCCTTTACATCGACCTTCGATCGGGTTCCAATTCTAGTCCGAAACTTTCTTTTTTGGTCCCATAAATAAACATCAACTTTAGGTCGTCCAAATTCTAGCCCAAACCTTTTGTTTTCCTCATAATAAAGCATGAACTTTCATCTGGTACCCAAGTTTTGGCCCCCATCAAGTTTCTGCCGGTTGATGCCACTAAAAACCTGACATGTCATTCTAAGTGTGTGTGTATATATATTTATGTGTGTATATATATCTCTTTCACTCTATGTGTCATTTCATTTGGCGGGGGTTGGATTTGGGTATTGACTGAAAGTTTATGCCTTTTCATGAAAAAAAAATTGTCCAGCCAAAATTAAGGTCCAACCTAAAGATGGTGGTTTTCGGTCCGAATAGGGACCCGACCTAAAGTTGATGTTTTGTTGTGAGACAAAAAGAGTACAGCCAGGATTGGAATTTGACTTAAAGTTGATGCATTCTAAGAGAATTGAGACTTTTTTTTCTTTCTCGTCTAATTAAATCAAAAGATGAATTATAGAAAGAATAATGAAAAGTGGGGAAAGGAAGCAGCATATTGGTATCATTGTCGCGTTAAATAAAGTAAGACTCAAAGTCGCTGTCCAAGCAGCTACAATTATATATGCTTCGATGGGAGAGACTTTGCCTTTACTTTGTCTTGGCTAATCAGTGGCACAACAACGCTGAGTTTGTAGCTTCTACGGCAAGCTTGTTTTCTTGGGAAAAAGGGTTTTGTCTTTCTCTTTGTACCTTTGAATCCGATCCATTAGGTCTTACTCCAAACACTGTTTGTTTTTTAGAGTTAATATCAAGAAAAACTCCAAACTGCTGATACACATGTGATAGATTTACACCGAATTAATTTTTTTACTATCAAAAAACCCAAACTGGTACATCTGTACAAAATTTACCATAAACTAATTTTTTGACCACCAAAAATCCCAAACTGGTACAATCGTGACAAATTTACCATCCGTAAAATTGGATTAATACCATGAAAAATCAAAAATTTATAAACCTGTGACAAATAGAGAGGTAAAACCCTAAACTGGTACACATGTGAATTATTACGTGTCATCCAACTCAATAATTTGATGGTAAAATTTAACAGAAATTAACGGAGGGTAAATTTGTCACATGTGTACCAGTTTGGGGGTTTTTTGTGGTAACAAAATTAGTTTGGGTATATTTATCACAGATGTACCAGTTTATTATTTTTCATGGTATTAACTCTCTCTTTTTTTTTGACTATGCTCAAAGATGATCTGCAAGCCTCCAATTGGGGGGAAATTTTTTTTGGAATTTAATAATATAAAATGGCTGTGTAAGTATATTAATTTGCTAAAAATTCTAATGCTGCATATATAACACTATCTCAACTTGCCCGTGTAAATTGATTTTGGCCTCTTTGTCATATGTAAATTTTGTAGCTCCCATTTGGTTCGTCATGTCGCTATGGTCCTGTACATGATGAGCAAACTAAATCTTTACGTTAAGCTAGATGGGTACCATGTGGGTCCCACACAGATCCACCAAATTTGACGGTTCAGATTCAACTCCTAAATATAATACACTCACTAGCGCCTTTGAAGCAGCGACCAAAAGAAAAAAAAAAAAAAGCTCTATGAAGCGATGCATGAAATACTCCAGTGCCTTTGGTTCAGTACTCACATGAGTTTGGCTTCATCCTTGGGTTCAGAACTTTTAGATTGCTGCGTTAAAAAAACGAGCACAAGCCCATTGGCCCATGTCCTTGGCTATTAGAAAAGATTCATTAAAATCATCTTCTCTTTCATTTGCATTTGTTAATTCACGAGAAGTCGAATCTATATCGTATGCCTATACCACACATCAAGAACACATTAAACCAAGCTCCACAGGATTCAGTAAAACATTGTTTCCGATTGGTAAGCTTACATGTACATTACTGAAAATTTTATCTGAAATTAACTAATAGGTCTTCGGACCTATGTTCATACGATTCGGCACCAATTTGCTAAAAAATAAATCTTCTGAACGCCCAACATCATC